CTCCCGTCCGTTTCTCTGCCGTCCGTTTTTCTGCCGTCCGTTTTTCTCCCGTCCGTTTCTCTGCCGTCCGTTTTTCTGCCGTCCGTTTCTCTGCCGTCCGTTTTTCAGCATCGCTCTTGTTCCAAAGTTTTCAGCTATTTCAACAAATCATAAATCAAAACGTTCGGCTCTTTCAGAACAATCCTGCTATGACTTTTGGTAGTGGTGCAACTTTAGCTGCAGATCTTTAGCTCTGTTTACAACCTTGTACCGCTCCTTTCACATTTTGTTCTGCTTCAGCTTCTTTGTGCAAATTTAAACATTTTTCAGCTACTTTCATCTAATTTCAGCTGTTTGTGCTCCTTTCAGATCCTTTCTTCTAATACAACATTATGCTTCTTCTAACTTCTTTCTGCTAATTTCAGCTGGTTATGCTCCTTTTAGCTTTTTTCAGCCTTTTCTGCCATTTCAGCTACTTTTTAGCTGTTTTTATACTAATTTTAGCTTTTCCAGCTAATTCCACATTTTTTTAGCTCATTTCAGCTCTTTCCACTTCCATCTCATAGGTTAAGCTTCTTTCTGCCTTTTTGGCTACTTTTTAGATTTTTTTTGTTGTTGTTGCTAATTTTAGCTTTTTTCCTGATTTCCTAATATTTGTGCTCATTTCTGTTTACTTAAATCTAATTCTGCAAATATGTGTTCTTTCTGTTTTTCATCTGCTAATTAAGGCTTGTTCTTCCATTTCAGCGACATTTCAGCACATGTTTAGCTGTTTTTCAGCAAGTTCTTCTGCAATAAGCACTCACACTGTATTTTTGCAGGAAGTGTAATTTCTCTAGTTTAAGTAAAGTCCATTCAAATTTAATCATTTAAATTTAATCCAATATGATCCACTCACCTGAAAAGTGTAACTTCCTGTAAGCTTCTCTTCATAAAGGACTAATTAAAGCTCAGTAAACTGTTCATTAGTTTGTAAATACTTTAGAAAAGGCTAAAATAAGCTAGATCAAGCGCTGCACTTTTATACTTCATAAATATAATTTATTACAAGTTGCTCAGATTATTTTTAACCCTATAAAACTTTATTTACCAAAACAAACAGCGTTGAATGCTCTAAACTCACATTTAAATTTTAAATAATGAAGAAATGAGCTTCATCCTGCCAAACATTGAGCCATATTTGATGTTTACACAAACATAAACAACGTGTTAATAAAGCATTAATAAATCCTTATATACTCTTATTATCTGCAGCTGGGGTCAGAAGTTTACATACACTCATCCTGAGCACAACTCTTTACTGTTTTAAAGTTTTTAAAAACTCTTTTGTGTTTTCTTTAAGGTCTGAAATGACTCTTCAACATAAACTTCAGTGAGTTTTTAAAAACGAGTCTCGGCTGCTGATCCACACAGGGTCAGATATATTCATACGCCCACCGGACTCTGTCGTTAAGAGACGGCGACGGTTCGACAACCACTGACCGAGACTTGAGCCCCGCTGTGAACTGGACCCTGCTGGAACACCGGGGTCCCCGTCTACACATGTCCCGCATGGACACGCTGGACGGACTGAGAAGAGTCAAAGTGAGGCCATCAGACCTGAGAACATGGAACCAACTGTCAAGCATGGCGGTGGTAGCATCATGGCTACTTTCAAATCCTTCAGCTGGACAGTTGAAACACAAACATATCGGAGTTGTCTCTGATTAAATCAGGCTAACTTTAAGGTTCTGGATCAGCCCCGAGCCTGAACCCGACTGCACATTTGCGGACTCCTTGATCTAAACGAACTCCACCAGTTCTGCCGAGAAGCAGAGCGGTCAGAAACTTCAGACAAAAAGTCCTGGTGAGACGTTTTAACTAAACATTCGTGGGAGTGTGAGGGTGAATTTGAGGCTGTGCGAAGCGTTCAAACGAAGCGTCGAGCTGGAAACAGAACAAAGTAAAGGACGTTGAGAGCCCTGGGTGGAGGAGAAGAAACGGAGTGAGCTGCAGCCGAGCAGCAGGACGGAGAGCTGCGTCCATAAACGTGACTGAACGAGTCTTTGGCACGGTGGAGAGCCGTTAGCCACACTCACCTCTGATTCCCTTTGAGCGAGTGCGAGTTCGTTTGTCGTCACCCTCCACGCTCATCTGGGATGAAAGGAAGCGAGGGAGGGAGAGGGAGGTGAATGAAGGGGGAGAGAGAGAGAGAGAGAGAGCGTCAGTCATTTGTCCAACACACATCCAGAGCGCTGAACGTTCCTGCCACAGAGAGACGGTTTTTATGTTACTCTCACCAACGTGTTCTGTACTTTGCAGCACCTGAGTGGTGCTCAGGGTTGGGGTCTGCTCAGCGGCAGTGGGTGGCACCGGGGGGCCGCGGCCCCCGCGAGCAGAGGGCCCGACAATCAGAGCTACGCTGAATAATGAAGTGAAAACACTCGGGCTGCTGTAACGACCCTTTTATAAGGTGAGGTGTGTGTGTGCGTGCATGTGAAACCACAAAGGAGCAGGTGTTAACACCCCCCCCACACACACACACACACACTGACCACGCCCCCCCAGCACCACCACACACTCAGCTGCACTCTAAAGCTATCAGATGCTTCCTGGACACAATGTCACCATTAGCTTTGATTACTGGACTCTTTTTTTTAATATTCAGGAGTCTCTCCTCATTCTCTCTTTCTGTCCCACATCCCCCACCCCCCCTCCACACTCCACCCCCTCCCGTAGCCGTCTCGCCATGCCCGACCACTTAGCAGCTTTGTGGCCGCTCTTCATTGGGTTGGCATCGCTGCAGTGAGGTCCCTGTTCCTCCATCTTTCCCTCCCCTCCTCTGTTTGGCAGAGCCCCGTTCCTGCTAATTGACTACTCCTGAAAAGAAGGGGGGAGATGGGGGGAGTGGGGATGAAACACGCCGTTGTTGTTCTTGTTAAGGGCTTTTTCTGCATTCACTGGCGTTTGGCTGGAGGTACAGGTGCAGCCAGAGGCCCCGCCCCTTCGCTCCGGCCTTTTGATGAAGAGCTGTTGGAGCAGAAGTCGAGCAACGAGCTGAAGTTTCTGCTCCGCCCGAAGAGAGCAGGAAGACGGAAGGGTGAGGCTGGGGGCACGTACAGGACGATGTGCACGTTAGGTTTGTACCTGTACGAGCGCAGGGTGGTGTGTAATTCAGAGTTTATTTATAATAAATGCTGAGTTGCTGTAAAAAGACTAACTTTAAAAATCACTTTTCTTTTTTTAGTTGTTCTCCATAGTCTCTCGTACGGTTTCCATATATTATACATATATTTATACACTGTACTGACATATCCCGTTAGCGAGCTGGGAGGGTTTGTAGGTGGGACTTTCAAACTGAGGATTTAATCTCACATTTGGCTCCAAATCACAACATGGCAGCATCAAAAAAAAAAAAAGAAGAAAATTTGGCTTTTATTTTGAAAATCTGCAGAAAAAAATGGGAACGCTTCCTCCATCTTTATCAACCCCCCTGCTTCCCTTGCATCAAAACGACCCATGAAGCCTCAGTTTTAGGCCTGGTGGGTTTTAGAGTCTTGATTGTTTGGGTCTTTGTTGACCCACATGATGGAGGGGAGGGAGAGTGATTTGCATGTGAGTTCAGTTTGCAGATTAACTCAGTTCTTACCTCACTGCTGCATGTTCAAATATTAATTTTATATCTCCATAATTAGTAATTTCCTACGTGAACATAAGGTCATGTGACATGACAGCATGCGGGGGGGGGGGGGCACCTCTTCCAGGTGCAGAGTCCAGCTTTAAAACGTGTTGAACCAGGGGTGTCCCGTCCTGGAGGGATTAAAAGTGAATGTTTTTGCTCTAAATCCTGCCCCTAGTGGCCGTTTGAAGTATTACACATTGATTCATCATAATTATTTAATATCGGTCTCTAAAGAAGAATTAAATATTACATTTTTCATGGGTAATGTTTTTAAAACAAGACTTTTGCTGTTAAAATATTAATTTTCACATCTTTTACCCCACGAGTCGATCATTTTGTCACAAGTATAAAACAAAAACAACTGCCACTGAAAAACACTCAAAGTAACAAATTTAAACGTTATCTTTTCCCCCACAAAAATAAACTTTTTCGTGTCTAATAATCGTCTTTCACATCCCTCTTTTGAGTCAAACTGCAGACTGTAATTATTTTAAAAGCAGCGTTTTAGTTTGATTAGCAGAGCTTGTGTTGTGCTCAACAGACGAATAAAAAAAAAACAGTTTCCGATCCGTTTTAACCGTTGATTCAACTTGATCTGAAAATTATAAACTGCTTTTCCTTTGCGTCCTCCTTACATCGAGAGCCGGCGGATGAATCAGAACCTGGACTGAAAAGGGCTCCTGTTGCTTTCATGTTTGTGTCACCATAGTTACATACATTCAAATAGGTAAGCACATCCGAGTCGTCCTCTTCTTCCTCGTCCCTTCTCTCCGTTCCAGCTCATTAAATTTACATGAACACAAACTGAGAGCAGAAAAAGGCCGACGCCGAGCGGCAGCGTCCACCTGATCCCCTTCAAAGGGCTCCGGATGCTCCAAACTTGTCCTTCCCCGTCTTTTAATTAGAATAAATCAACAGCGTGTGGACGTATAGAGGCGAGGAGCATCTGCACGAGTGTGTGTGCTGAGGAAGAGGAGGAGGAAGACCGGGCGCCTCGTCCCTTCAGGCGGCGTTGGACGTTATCAATTACGGCTCTCGGTGTGCGCGGCGGGCGGAGCAGGAGGAGCGCTGAGAGCGCCGTGGAAACGCGTGGCCGGGGGGCGTCGGCTTCAGAGAGAAGGTCACCCTCCGTCCTTCGGTGGACGTAAACGGCTCTTTTATCCTTTTTCAGGTTTACAACCGCAGCCGAGAGGAGACAAGCCGGAGGAGACGAGCCGGAGGAGACGAGCCGGAGGAGACGAGCCGGAGGAGACGAACCGGAGGAGACGAGCCGGAGGAGACGAGCTGGAGGAGACGAGCTGGAGGAGACGAGCTGGAGGAGACCGACGTCTTCAGAAACGACCTGTGGACCCAAGCTGCCAGTCAGAGCTTCCCCTGCGGCGCCCCCGGCCTCCATGTCGGCGAGCCCCCGGCCTCCATGTCGGCGAGCCCCCGG